CGGGCAGGTTTCCTTTCCTAGATCGTAGAAAAACGGTTCGGCCAGGTAGCTCTCGTTGATAGTATTCTGCCAGTGTTATTGAAAGCCCTCGATCAGCTCGCCCAATGTATTCGCCTTAGTCAGTATTTTAAGATTCTTTCTTTCGATTAGAATCCTGACGTCCTGAAACTGATGGCATCTGGGGCGTTTCGTTACCTCCAGAATCCGTTCCCAGATAGTAGGGAGCGCTTCTGGAGGAAGAAAGTAGACAAGCAACTGCTCACGGGCGACTGGATCCACTCGCTGTGACCGCATTTCTACGCCCCGGGCGGTCGCGTTCAGCCGGCTATGGTCAAAGCTAGAGGGGTAGTGTTGAATAAGATCGCCGGAATAACAGCAATTGATGATCGGGAGGAGAATCTCGTCCATCCACTGCCTGAAATCCTGGTCTAACAGACGGCTGGATTGCTGACCTTCCCGGTAGAGTCGGGGAAAGAGCAGATACAGAGATATATCTTCGAATCCAACCAGGCGACCAAAGGTATAATGCGGGACTTGATGGACAGGCCGGCGCACACTATGGGCCTGCCCAGTTGAATCGAAAAACTGGACCGAAATCGGATCTAAATGAAGGCTTGACTGGAGGTCAGAAACTGCCATCTGCGTAGGATGCCATCGGATCTCCCGACGGGCTACGGCTAAACTACTTGTAAATCCTCTCACACTATCGATATCAACGGTAATACCCAATGAAGGGTTTGGGCGATAGTCGGCAGCCACACAGAGATGTATTGGGAATCGATCGGGATCTCGAGAATCCGTTCCGTAGTAGATCTGTTGTTTCCGTACCTTAGGAATTTGCTGGGCAAGGTTAGACTCGCGGACCGCGATTGTCGTCGAGCTTAGTACATCCGGAAAGTCTCTGTCGATATTAATCTGGTCCACGTAGTCCCCAAGCCCAGTATAAACCGAATGCGTCTCTTGGTGCGCCGTATGTGCCTGCTCATGGCACTTATAACAACAGCCGTAATGCTGATATAGCTGATCGGCAAGTGCGCGTGCCAGCGTACAAATATCCTCGCGAGATTCGGAAATCGGTAGGATAGGAACTGGGATCTCTAAATTCGACTGATTATCATAGGGTCGCTCATTGCGCGTCGGTAGGGATGGTCAGACTGAAGGCTCAGACTCGGGCTCGGGACTAGCGACAGGCTCAAAACTGTTAAGCTCTAGAGGTGGCTCGTCAATCGGTATATAGCTATCTTCAAGTTCGAGAGGAGCTGGACCGGGGCTCAACGGCGGGAGCAACTCTTCCAGTTCATGGGTTACCGACGGCGCCCCTATGCCAGTAATATGAGCGATAGAGGGATTGGAAATTGTAGATGGCCTAGCAGAGCAGAATTCGGTAGAGAACGCGTTATATTCAGTAGCTCGCGCGGTCTCCCGCCGGTTTTGTTGCCGTTTAAGTTTCGCAGCCTCCCGTTCCTCTGATGAGGCGTATTTTGGTGGACGACCACGTTTTCGAGTAGTAGACATAATCGTACCTAGATACAAATTTGGCCGATGTTAAGAGAGATACTGACAGCATGGCTGACGATAAAATTGGTAAAATGCTTGATCGATTCTATGTAGCGAGGCTGCAGACTAGCTAACTATCTACGATCGCTGTGTGGGTCATGTGGTACACTAAACTACATTCGGAAGGTCAAATATGCGAGGTACCGCCAACAGATACTGACTGATAAAACTGAATAGGCGAAAGGAACTAGTGCCCTAGAAACTGATGGACAAGGGGGAGGAACCTTGCTAGCTGGAAAGTTCTGTAATAGAGGTCGTCTGTTATGGTACAGATCTAGGGTGCCTAAGATACCCCCTCGGCGTAGCCCAGAACGCTATATTAATTATTATCTGTTCCGGGATCTGCATATCTCCCGCCTGCCTGAAGATCCTGTTGTAGCTCTTCGAGCTACATCTTGTCTATCAGCCTGTAGATAGCTTGACCCTATAGCAATTCAGAGATATTGTAAACTATTAGCCTGCCTGCCATCAGCTCTACTACCCCGCCAGCCCGCACCTTGACATCGTCAATCCGTTTCATTAATTTATATATATCTTTCTGATAGTATTATATCGGACATACTCGGGTAGATAATGCCGCGCGGCCTGTAGATCCGGGGGCCAAGTTTTATAGGACAGAGAGAGGATCTTTCTATCTATGCGTGCCGTACCGTACAAATAAGGAATATCTTAAGGAATAGAAGGAGGTCAGATAGTGTCACGGTACAGACCTGGGGTGCCTGAAGCACCCCTTCGGCATGGCCCGGAACACTATATTATCCGTTCCGGGATCCGCATATCTCCCGCCTGCCTGAAGATCCTGTTGTATGTGACGAACTGACCAAGGCCTACTATATAGAGCGATGCGCATACCAAGTCGAAGACTTGGTATTCTGGTCTTTTTAGTAGCTCAGTTGGTAACTGTCCTACTAAACGGTCTTGGCGGGTAGAAACGCACCTACTCACTGCCAAGCCCGTGACATTGTAGCTCTCCGAGCTACGTCTTGTCTATAAGCCTGTAGATAGCTTGACCCTGTAGCAATTCAGAGATATTGTAAACTATTAGCCTGCCTGCTCGCCTGCCTGCCATCAGCTCTACCACCCCGCCAGCCCGCACCTTAACAGATAGCCCGTCAGATATCAACCGATAGGGAAAAAGGTGATATAGCAGCAGAATAAACCGAAAGGGTTAGCGGTAAGGCAAAAATTCCAAAAATAGTTGGCGGTAAGGCATTAATTCGAGCAGGTTGATTATATAATCTCTACTCCCCAAAAACTTCCGCAACTCCCCAACTTTAGGCAGCGATTCCGCGCGAACGAAAGAGAATATAGAAATTCTAATTAGTGGGCAGGATTCTGCATTAACTGCTCTATATCTAGGCAAATTTTGATAGGGCTTCGACGTTGGTGGAGTTCTAAGTCTAGGCGGAAAACGGCCTATGGCATTTCCTGCCGATCTCCCGCCCCAACCACCTTTGGGCACTAAAATTACCTCATTTCTGCCTAAATCCCTACGTCGATCAACAATCGAGACCGTTCGAATTAATAATATAATTCAAAATCAATCATTTTGAATGTTTGATTGCTGCTACAATCCTTTCTATAAATATACTTATTCCTGCCTATTATCTCGATTTGTTATTTTTATTCTAATTTATTTTCCTTGCTTATTCTTTCTGTTGACTCTTTCGATTTTAATTTATTCTGTTATGATCTCTCCTCTGCTTACTACCCTGCCTGATTTCATTGTGTTTAATGAAGAATTTCAATTTATTATTTGCAAAATTTACCAAACTGCCATTCACCCATCAAAAATTCAGGATTATTTGACCAAACATTTGACCTAGACTTCGGCACAACCCATCGATGGGTCCAAATGTTGGACCCATCGCCAAACCCATATGGGTTATGGGTTTTTTTGAAATGGTCAACCCATCCCAATGGGTACCCATGGGTTTTTGATAGGTACCCATGGGACCCAAAAAAACCCATATTCTGCACAAATTTGAGACTTGGCATACATAATTCAGCTTACTTAACAAAATTTCAGATTGTAATTTTGACATGTTTTCTCTCGTTTAGCATCTCATAGTCTTATAATTATAATCTCTACTAGAAAACTATTTTTTTATGTTAGCAGAAGAATCTTCAAACCTGATTCTCTATTAATTTCAAATCAAAAACTTAATTTTTGATAGTGATAGTATTAAGTCTGTAGATTATAAAGTTATAGTTGTTTTAATGAATAAAGATATATAATCTATATATATAGGGGGCCATGGCCCGTAGAACAATTCGTTGTGAAAGCTCAAAGGAATTTTTTTCCGGCAAAGAACTACAATAATTTAAGGGGAATACCTTCTAAATGTAAGCCAATAGATAATAAAGACTAATATTATTATTGATCTAATGTAGTTGTGCTTTAATACTGCTGTTCTTTGTCTATTTATCTTTGAAATGAGGACAAAGGCAATTCCAGAGGTTTTCCTACTGAATATTCTTTGGCCGAGTAAGGAAATGGGTATTATAGGTTTTCAATGGGTTTTCAATGGGTTTTTGAGGGGTATTGTGGGTTTTCGATGGGTTTTCGATGGGTTTTTGAAGGGTATTGTAGGTTTTCGATAGATTTTCGATGGGTTTTATGGGTTTTCGATAGGTTTTATATTTAGACCCACTAAAAAAGCTAATAATATTTGATCTCCCTATATTGCTTTTGCTTTTCCCCGCAACCAGCTGGAATTAGGGGGATCTATCAATCCAGTCTTTTCGACGAAGGTGTGTCCTCTCTTTCTACCCATTTGTCTTACTTTATAGTTTTTTGTGTTAATATGTCTTAAAGCCAAAGCCAGCACTCTGACTTTTTACCCTCTCTTTATGAGGAAAAAACAGGTCAATTATCCTATTTTACGCCTTTATACTACCTCACTACACCTACAGATAGTATCTTAGGCTCGTGTTCAATCGAAGGTAGCGAGTCTGACTTTGTCCGACTGAGCAATCCTTCTATCCCTGCATCACTTACCCGTGTTGGCCCAGATCAGAGAAAGGCCTTTTTACGTTATAACAATATGGTTTATACCGATTGGGTTGACTGGTGGCTCCAAACAGACTTCGAACAGAAAAGTAACCTTAAATGGGATACAAACCGCAATGCAGATATCTGAAAACATTTTGATCAGGTTACCTCTCATAAAGATGGAGCGCCAAAGGTAATGTGTAAACGCTGTGACGAACTGACCAAGAACCACTATATAGAGTGATGCGCGTACCAAGTTGTCGACTTGGTATTCTGGTCTTTTTAGTAGCTCAGTCGGTAACCGTCCCACAGACCTACTAAAACGGTCTTGGCGGGTAGAAGCGTACCTACCCAATGTCAAGCCCGTGACAAACGCTGCGCCCGGATTTTAGAACATCCTGCAGCTACTTTACCTAACGGCAAGAGCCTATATGGCACATCAACTTTGTCAAAATATCTCAAGACAGCAAGTTGCCAAAAGGCTAAAGCTAACAGTAAAGAGAATATCTCTCGATTTCTTAAAGCAGAAGTATGTTACTTATCAAACTTTATTTATCTTATATTGATTATTTTAGGACCGGACAGCTACTACTAAGCCTTTTTCGCAAGCTACATGGGAGGTTCAGCTTCTACAGTTTCTTACTTTGAATCGTTTACCGTTCTATCTTGTTGAACATCTAACGTTTTATATCTTTATTCAATCAGCATGCTCAGTGCCTTCTTCTCCAGTAATACCTTCTTCGACTACAATTCGGCGACGATTACGGGATGTTATCCAAGATAAACAACGTTTTACCCTTCAAACATTTTTGCCCGGATTAAAGATATCGGTTGCACTAGATTGCTGGACTTTCCCATATAATCAGGCCTTTATGACGGTCACGAGTTATTTTATTAATGTTAACTGGGTATATCAAGAGGTTCTTCTTGGATTTAAGCCATTACATAGCTCACACACAGGTGCAAATCTAAGTGCAGCTCTTCTCGAGACATTAATTGGCCACAATATCCAAGACCGGGTGTTCGGGATTACAACAGATAATACGACAAACAATAAAACATTAGTTGATACAATCCAGCAAGCACTCCCTAACAATGCTACTGTTATCTGAATTCTTTGTTTTGCTTATGTAATCCAGCTTTGTTTGAATCAGCTACTTGATCGTTTTAAAGCTGTACCCTAAAACGATGTTGCAGAGATAAAATGGACCGATTAGCAATTATCAGTAGCGAAAACAAATGGAAGATACTAAAAACGCGAGATCTCGGGTACATTGAATAAGATTCGCTACCTTGCGATTTACATTTATGCAAGTTTATAACGTCGAGAGACCTTCCTTCAGCTTCAGCCTCAAGAACCTAGGCTAGTACCTATTTAAGACGTCCAAATTCGATGGAACTCGACGTATTTGATGCTTCAACGTACAAAACGGTTATGCAGCTATTTCAAACCGTTCTATAAGCAATATGATTGTGAAAAAATATTGTTTAATAATAAAGAATGGCGTCAAATTAATTATCTTCTCTGTATTACGCAGCTATTTTTTGACTATATCACTGAGCTATCAAAGACAAAGGAAGTTACTACGCATCTAGTTTTTAAGCTTTATAACGCACTTTTCGAACATCTTGAGCAATCGATAAGCCAGCTAAAAAAGAAGCGTATTAGATAGAAACAGCAAATGCTACAGTCACTAGAAGTAAACTAACAGAAGCTTAGTAACTATTACTCTCAAACAGATAAGATGAAAGGACATATCTTTGCTATCGGTACTATGCTTGTACCAGATAACAAGCTTCAATTTTTCTAGACTGATGATTGGGAATTACATTGGCGTAAGATATATCGTAAATCATTTCAATTAGCATTGTTTTCCTATCAAGAGCGTCTTTTAAGAGATCAAGCTTCGCCTACGCCCCAAACGTTATCAAGATCAACATTAAGGCTTAATAAGATGCTAAGTAGGAATAAGGCCGTGGCAAAATCTATTAGAGATAAGGCTACCCAGTATCTCGATAGTAGTAAGTCTGTTAGTTTTAGCTATTAATGTTCTATACTGATTTAATTCTAGATCCAGTGGAAGCTAAGCCTCTCCAATTCTGGCGTAACAATCAATCCTATTTTCTTGCAATTGCATTACTTGCCCGGGATGCTCTTTCAATTCCTGCAACCGGTACTGGTATTGAGCGGCTTTTTAATACTGTCTGTAATGTCTGCCATTACTGACGTAATCGTTTGAAGTCGAAGACTATTGAAGAAATTATGCTATTTCTATGTGTATCAAGATTTGATCTTAAGGATACAGAGGCAAAGGAGCTTGAGAAATATTTTACTTTGAATGAGATTGAGATATCAAAGGAACAGAGTAATAAGAATCTGGAAAATGTTAGAGTTAATTTAATTAGCGATAATGAAGAGGAAGAAAAGGAAGAGAAAGAAAATACTGAAATAGTTATTTCTAAAAATTCTAATAAGTTAATAGATCTTAATACTGCGAGTGATACTGAAAAGCTTTAGTTACCAAAGAATAGGACTTAGCTACGGACATCTGGAAGGAAACGCAAACATAAAGAGGACAATAACTTTAAGCAGTATTAGAAGAATGGAATCAATTTAACTCGAATCTATCTATATCAATTCTTATTTCTTCTATATGTAACTACAATACCTAAAATTACAGACAAATTTGCATTAATTATGTAGTTACGAGATTCTTCTTTGTTTGTCTTGTTTACACCAATATGGGTACCCATGGGTTACCCATGATGGGTAATGGGTCCTCTTCTAAAACCCATAACCCATCATGGGTCGGAGACTTGGACCCAAAACCCAACCCATCGATGGGTTTTATATGGGTACCCATGGGTACCCATGGGTCCTGCCGAAGTCTAATTTGACCGATCATGAGATTCAAAACAATCAATTTCTTCAATCTTTTCAACCCCTAGCCCTGCAACCCCTTCAAATAATTCACCAAAACATTAAGGGGTGGGAGCCTATCCAACCAATCAATGATCTTCCAAGTCCTAGGCCTGCATTTACCTGCCTGATTCGGGGCTGCTCTACCCTAGCCCTAAATCAGCAAAAAATCAAGAATCACCTTTCCCAGAATTATCGAATCTTTGGTGCAAAAAATCAGCAAGCTCAAATAGGAAATTGCCTAGTTCAGGCCCTAGAGGGGTCTACCTATCTTTTTCGAATTGATCAATCTGAATCAGGCCTTTCAAGCTCTAGTTCTGATGAATTCGCGCCTTTACCGAAACGACCAAAGGTTCAATTTGCAAGTTCTAATCAACCGGATCTGGCTGCTCAGTTCCTTGCCAATCATAAGGCTAAGCAGCTTTCCATTCCCCAAAAAGATCAGATTTTTCGAGCTTTTGGCTCGAGGGATAAAACCAGCTCGTTCTATAATAAAACTCAATATCCTTCCTTCCTAAACGGGCGAGATTTAGCGATTTTAGCAAATCTGTTTCTGCTAGAATCGGATTAACTGGATCAAGCGCATTTTCTTCTGGATTCAATTCACTATATTTTAATAAAGGGTTACAAAAGGATCAATTAAACTTTCTCTCAAGCTTTAATAGCTTTAAATGATCTAGCTCGCAATTAGGGCCCCAATTTAATGCGGAAATTTCAGCCTTTGCAGAATTAAAATGTAACGGTCTACAAAGGAATTCAGTAAAAGACAAATTTGTTTATAACTCGTAATCAAGGAATTTTCTTATAGGAAAGAAAGGCTATCTAGAAACGAAAATCTAGAACTTTTATATACTGCCTGAGGTTCCGCCTCAGGCAGGACTATATCCAGGAAGGTTTCTTCATACCGGGAAGTTCGTTGGCTCAGGAAGTCAATCCAGGAAGTCAATCCAGGCAGTTCCCTGATTTCAGGAAGTGACAGGTAGAATCTAGTATTAGAATATCCTAGTGTTTAGTTAGCAAGGCATATACTTTTTATTAGGGATAAGGAGGGAGAGCTTACCATAGTTTATAGAATTATTAATTTGTAGCTTGATCGTCTGGAGAGTCTGTATTACTACAGGCAGGGCAGTGAGTATAGCCAATATACTACTGCACCCCAATAGGCTCGGTAGGCTTAACAGTAGGGGTTAAAATAATAGACTTAGAACAATCATTACATAGAGACGCCAGATTATGTTTAAGGGCCAATATATGGCGTATTCCAAGTTTTACCTGCTGTAGCCGGCACTGATCATTCATAGACGGGCTGAGCAAGAGGACTGAAACAAAAGGGTCGGTTTTATTCAAAAGGTCCACAAGCAGACAAAGAACAGGACGAGTCCCTTGATACATCACTTGTTGCTCTGATATGTTGGCTGAGGGAAAGGGCACTATAGCAGTCTGGCAGACTTTACAGACAGGCTGGCTAGAGGACGACATAGCGGAAATAAAAACAGCAGAGTGAGATCACTGGAATAATAATTGTAAGAGGGTTATGCACGAAGAAGATCTAGAGGCACTCTAATAAAGATATTTTAGTATTTCGCCAATGTCTTCCTTAAGTTCAACTATCAAAGGGTATATAGAGGAAAAGAGGAAGATTATTTACTCTAGTAAAGGCATTTTGATGCTTTACTAATGTCTTTCTCCAGTTTAACGATCAGAGGGCGTATAGAGAGAAAGGAAAGAAAAAGAGAGAAAAAAGAGAGAAAACAGAGAAAAGATAGGAGGGGAAATTATATACCTTAATAAGGATATATGCTTTAATACTTTGCTAATGCCTTCCCTAAGTTCAACATTTAGAGCGCGTGTAGAGGAGAAATAGAAAAGGCAAAGATAAAGGCAAAAACAGAAAACAAGAAGAGAGAGTTTCTAGATCTTTTTTATTATAGAGGAATTATTCTGTGGCATCCCTAAACCCCCTAAGGAAGGCTTCCTCAGCGTCTCCCCATAAAGGAATCTATTATATTACTAACTCTTACCTGAAGAAAATATTGAGGGAATCCGTTAATAGTAAAATAAAGAAGCCGAAATATCTGTATAATTGAACTATAAAGTAGAGTATAAATTGAGAGTACAAAAAGAGTTATATTCCTTAGAATAGTTTTACCTTATCTGCCTTTTTTTTTTTAGGGTCGGAACCCTCTGCTACATTCCTAGGTACATCTTCTGTTATATCTATAGGGCCTTTACTATCCTTTTTAGCCTCCTCGCCCTCCAGATACTGGACGTCGATATCAGACATTTCACGTATGCGAGAACTCGCCTTCATAGTACTGATTAAGGCTTTGACTACGTCCTCTGGGGAGAGGCGTTGGTCCTTGGGGACAAGTTCCATCAGGGCATGGCGGACCTTGCTGATAGTATTATCCTGATTGAGGACCCATATATCGATATTAAAGCTCGGTACCGAACTGTCTCCAGTTACGTCTAGGGTATCGGTAAACATATCCCAATTCAGGGTGACCACAAGGTCGGGGACAGCCTTAGTAAGGTTCTTGGCAAAAATGCTAGCATTGAAGCTGTCCGACACAATGTAATCGTAAATCTTGACTGTTCGAGTCTGTCCGACACGGTTTACCCGCCCGATGGCTTGCTGCTTGAGGGAGTCGGATGTAAAGATATTAAAGAGGTATACGTTCCGGCAGAGATTCTGAAGGTTAGAACCCGCTGCGTTAACGTAATAGGAGCATATTAAGACCATGCATTCATCCACTTTGGTTGTAAAATCTCGTACCAGCTCGATACGCTCCTTGGAGTTAAGTTCCGAGTGAAAGACCCGACAGTTAATACAGGCATAATAAAAGGCGGCAGCGATAAAGAACTGCTAGACAGGAGTCGTACACTAGACTATTGACTTTTCCTGTTGCAGGAAGACCTCCTGCTGGATTATAGACAGGAGGGCGCGTAACTTCGGGCTACCGCGCAATAGGTACAGGAGAACGTTTTGATCGGTAAATTGCTCGGGGATATCATGCGTTACCGGGGCAGGGGCTGTAGTATCCTCGGTATATTTCCGCATCAGAATCTGATTTTTAACTTGTATCGCTTTTTTGATCAGTTGAGGACCGAGTGTGAGATGCCGGGCCTGAGTGTCGAGGAATCGTGCACTAGCTCGCACTAAGAGGTGGTAGCAATACCTGAAGAACAGCCAGGTGATAACCAGCGTGAGTTCTCGATACTTGGCCATGTTCCATATGATTTGGCCCTCGCGGGTCTGGACAAAGAGGTAACGGCGGAATTGCTTCTACTATCAGTAATATTAGGTAGCTTTACGGGCACAGTAACAAACAAAAACCATTTAATATTGGGAAAGAGGTATGTTATCGCCAATGCGTTTACCATTCGCAAACGGGATGCAGGAGGATAACAAGTGCCGGATTATCAGGTATTTCTATAGTTGACGGAGGCGGAGGCCGCGGACCACACTATCCGGGCAGACGAGTTCGTCAGACACTTTAAGGATGAATCGCTGGACCGCCTCATTCGTGAGGATCAGCTGGGCTTGGGAATAGATATCGGGGAGTATAAACGGGTTAGTCTTGGGATTCACGCCTATCCATAAGTTATCGTTTTTGGGTAGCAACAGGAATGGGAGTAAGCCGGCCATATCGTTATAGGAATTGAAGATAGGGGTAACGGTAATAGATCTATCGGGCAGCAGTCCATTGCGCCGTATCCGGGTTCCGAAACGTATGGGCCTCGTCGGCAACCATCGTGTCAAACAGTCCCCGAAGGGATTTAGGCCACTCCGCCAGGGAGCTGTTGCCATATTCTTCCGCCCATGACTTGTACTCGGCGGGTCCATGTCGCTGCGCCAAAGTCTAATAACTGGTAATGACTACGGCATGATGTGCTTGCGGGCCAGTCATCCATGAGAGATTGCCTGCCAGTTTAGGAATGACTTTGACGTCGACTGGGGGGTCTTCCCGCGCGTTTCCAAAGTACACAATGACTTTGAGCCGTTTGGTGACGGCCTTGATCTCAGCGGCCCATTGCCACACCAGATAGGGGGGGCAGATAATAAGGGTGGGCTTGTCTTTCAGCGTTATAGCCCGCTACAAGCAAACAGGTTAGTCAAAGATCAGGATAATAGGGAGGTGCTGGAGAAGCCTTCCCCAGCACCTACCCAAGGAAAAGCCAGAAAACGAATAGAGGTGGGGTCACTTACGTGCAGAATATACCCGGTAACTATCTAGGTTTTGCCAAGTCGAACCATATCGGCCAAGATGCACCCGGAGAGCAGTGGATTTTCGCGGAACTGTACGATTGCATAAATGGCTACGGGCTGCCAAAAACGGAAAGACGTATTGATCCTTATCGCGGGATATTTGGGGACGTCTGGGTTACTGATATTGAGTGCCTCGCAGGCCTCCTCGTGATTCTCGCACTAGAGTTCGAGGTTGTCGAGCTAAGTCTGCTGCTCGCGAGCGATTTCGATGGATGCCGCGGTAACTTGGGACAGGGTTACCCGGCCGTCAGGCGTGTCTTTATAAGCCTCCTAAATGGTATCAGCAGTATAGTGTGCTAATGTTAGCGTATCGACCTTTTGCCCGGTAGGATAATATATGGAGTAGGGCCCTGCGGTAGCCATAAGAACCTTAAATAGTGTTATAGAGATCTCATCCGCCTCGTCCTGCATGTTATCCTTATGGGGGAGCTTTGTGTTACCAGTATCCGAGGCATCTGGCGCCGGCTCCTCTGCTAGTTCCTCCTCGATGAGGCGCAGACACAGTTCGATCAAATGGAACTGCCAATAGGGCTCGCTGAGGTCGGGAGTCTGAGAGACAGCTTAAAATGCCCGCTGGGTTACGGGTATCAGTTTATCTCTTCAATGGCGGAGACGAGCAACCGGCCCGGCCGGTATAGAGATATCGGGGGTCGGAATAGATGATCGGCTTGCCGATAGGGAGATACTGGCAGGGGCAGGGGCAGCGGAAACGGGAATCGGGGTTCCTGTGAGATTCTTGCTCTTAGCAGACGACCTCATGCTTCAGCTTGGTCTCGGCGGGGGGGGTCGGGTAGAACGCTTGCTTGAGACCCTTGGCTTGGAGGCCGGTTTCTCGGGGGCAGCGGGGGCAGCGGGTCCAGACGTAGGAGATTCTGTGGAAGGCTTCCTTGGGTCCTTTTCCAGACTAGCGTTCTCGCTAGGTGGGGAATGGAGGGTCTAAAGAAAAGCACAAATAAAGTTGTGTATCTCTTTATTTACGCTGAAGAGGGCCATACCTTTTTCCACACGGGAGGCAGCAAATTCCTGTCGAATAATGCGAAAGATTACCTACATTACCTTCTCTTTATGCTCCTGTGTCCAGGCTTTCTTGTAAAAGATCCCGTCCACGTTGCGCGTATTGACGTTAACCAGGGTAAGTAAACAAAAGGCAATCCAGTCGGCCCGGTCCCAGTTGGTCTTGTCGGAAAAATGGTTGAGGTATTTGGTATTACCGCTGTTGGCTGCGGCATGGATACGGGCAATGATAGTGGTAAACGATTTACCTTGATTCATATTGTTGCCGCTAGATTGAGCGGGGAGGATAGCGTGCAGGTAACAGTATAGGAAATAGGGTCGGAATAGAGTACCCTTAAGCCATTTCTTCAGTTCTTTTACGCTCGTAACGGTCTCTAGGGCAGTACAGATACCTTTCAGGTTACTAATCTCGGTAAGGTCGAATCTGGCAAGGGTATTTTTCTGGTCGATATCCTCCAGGGTATCGTTATCCGCGTTAATAATGTTATCCAGGCCGTCCTCGTCGGACGAGAATTGTAGGGTAATCATCTAGAAGATACTAAATTTGCTTTCCTAGAAGGTCGAGTGAGATGCAGGGGAATAGATTCGGAAAGAAAAGTAAAAAAGAAGAGAAGATCTAAAGGGAGAAAAGGGGGGAAAGAGAGTATTTATACCTTTTAGCGAAAAGGAAGGTATCTTTAGGACCTGCTATACTGTCTGCATCGCTGCCATAGCATGTGCCGGGAGTAGTGAATGCCGCGCTTTATTGCCTGCGGGTGATTCCACTGGGGACGGCCCAGGCATGTACCACAAAACGATGCACGTAGCCGGCTAAAGGGGATCCCCACTATCGCCTTGTGGCCTTTAGTAGGATCTCTCCGCTATCCCGCGTGCGATGACCTGGGTTCCTAGCTCTCGACCATACAAGGTTCTGGGGAAGGCTTCCTCAGGAGATCCCCGCCATGGCATGTGCCGGGAGTAGTCAATGGCGGGAGTAATGAATGCCGGGAGTAGTGAGTGCTAGGAGTAATACATAGTAGGAATAGTGAATGCTGCACTTTGTTGCCTGCGCATGATTCCACTAGGGACGGCCCAGGTATTTACCACAAAACGATGCACGTAGCCGGCTAAAGGGGATCCCTACCATCGCCTTATGGCCTTTAGTAGGATCTCTCCGGCTAGCAGTAGAGGAGTACTCTGTAAGTAATTATTCTGTGTGTAATAACCTGGGTTCCTGATCCTTGACTATATAAGGTTCTGGGGAAGGTTTCCTCAGGAGATCCCCGTAAGGATAATTAGGAATAGTTCTACATCCATAAGGCTGTTTACTGCTGGCTGAGCGCGGTCGTAGACTCCTGAGGCCGGGCCACGAAGATGCCGCAGCCTGGGTATCTGGTTCCCGGGTGGTCCGCTTGCTGGGGAGGCCCTTGGTCAGCAGACATCTCTCCAGCGGCCCGCTGCATCCGGAAGATATATCTTTCCGCGCGGGTTAGAGACTGAGCAGGTACCGCGGTACCGATAAGAGACAGAAACTCACTCGGATCAGTTGATGGATGCTTGGCCCGGATGTGTGTCTGTAAGGCCCGACGGGAGAGGCGCAGCGTCGGGCAGCCGGGTCACTGACAGGGCAATGCCTCCCATTGGGGCAGCCTCGGGAAAGGGGCGATAGGGGGCTCCTGGGCCAGGAGACGGTACCAGACGTCGAGAGGAGACTGGACCGCTAGGGACTGGATGGTCTGGCGGTCCGCCGCACTCAGCAGGGCATGGCTCGTGTGGTGCTCGATATGCTGGCGCACCTGCGGAAGGTAAATAACAGTCTAACATGTAATGTACACCAGTAGCTATCATTCCGGGTAGAGTTGTAGGAAGGCCCAGGGCAGTGATTGGACCGCATGTATTAACCGACCCGACAGAACGCGGGACTTTTGTATTAGCTGGTATAGTGGGGAGATCTCTGGTGGAGTGTAGCTCTCGCAGTCTGAAAGACCTCGGAAAGATACCGAACGAAAGACGAGGGTATACTACAGTCGGGATGCTACGGCGAACTGCTCAATCCGGCCCGGCGTTAGGCCGAATGGCTGGCTGACGTCTACGGCATAGACCTGTTCGTTAATGTGGCTATAATGATCTGCCTGCGCAGCTAGGATATTACTGAGAGCCGCGGTGGCAATTCTCCAATCAGCTGGCGTTGCCTGCGAAACGAGGTACTTTTTAGCAATAGCAATAGCAATATATCGGTAGCTACAGATGGTAATATCCTGCCCATGAAGGAAAGGCTGGGCGGTCTCTCGCATGAAGGCGGTAATCCTACCAGCCTGGGAACGGGGGGGCATTGCCTCAGGTAAAACGAAGAGATAGTTATCTATTGCGCTGGACTGGACTTAACAGTAATGTAAACGCGGCTGTCCGTTCTTCCGCAACTGCTGGTGGAGCAGCACAAGAAAAAGGCAGATGCGCAGCAGATACAGCACTACCAGTTAGCTAACTGAGAGGTACAGAAAGCGGGCTACATGCTGCGTAATCTAAATGCGCACCTGCGACTTATAGTACTCGGTAATGAAAAGCACGTTGCCCTGGTATAAATACAGGTTCCGCGGTATTGTCGAGGTATTCTGCCACTTCAGCTGCAGCAGTTCGGGCTCCCGACTCGGCTGGCCCTACGTCAGTTAGATCAGGAGAGCAAGATAATCGAGAAACCACTGAGTCTGAATCCGATACGCCATAACGGCGCGCGGATTCTACCGATTATCCTGGCGGAAAGGGGCCATGCCCGCCGGCAGCGTCGTCTAGACTGCAAACAATGGCGCATAGGTAGGCTGGAGCTGGTTCGCCGGTATATCAAAAAAGCAGAAACCGGCCCGATGCTCGCCTAGATCATCGACTAACGTGGTAAGATCGATAGAAAGATAAACGCTAAGGAAAAGTCTGTACTCAAACGTCTGGGTTACCGACTGGAGGAGGGCCTCAATCTACCCACGGATATCGTCAAGATGAATCTCCCGGGGAGACCCGCGGTAGAATAGAGTCTGGTAATCTGGCGACTACAGTATATTTCCCGGACGAGCGGTATGACAAATGTGCTAACGAGCCTGATCGAATAACTCGAGAATGGCGTAAAGGGGGTAGAGACTCCCACGGACAGCGTATCGGGCTTGGATCGCTTGGGCCCGTTGGTACTGATTCCGGACCTCATGCCGGGGCCGAATGTCCTGCAGATAGTGATACCGCCGGAAAGGAAAGGTATATTCGAGTAGCAGGACTCGGCTGACCCAGATCAGGGCGGAGAGCGAGAAAAAATACGAGTATAGCTCCTGAAAGGTAAAGGTAGAGACCTAGATACTAAATACGGCCGTAAACGCTATCAGATTAGCCGCAAATTTATCGCCGGTATGTTAGATGCTAGTCGTCGTAAGACAGCTCAGGCAGAAACTAAATAGACTTTCGTTGAGCCATCTCTGTCCCGCAGGTAGGAGGGCCGGTAGAACCAGCCGCCCTGTATTATCGGTATAAGAGAAGCACTGGGCAGATTCTACTGTTGGAGATAGGAGGTACTCCTCTTCCTTATTCTTATCTTATTCTATGTCCTATTTATTGTCGCTAAATACACTGTTGACCTCGCTAGCGGAACACCTGAAGAAGGCTTCCTCGGGGCTTTCCTTATGGTCGGTTGCTGGGAACTGATCGTTTATTTTAATCCTGTGCTGCTGACGGCCCTGTAAGGCACCTTAATTTTGCGGAAATAACAGCAGAATGTGAGAGTCCGGGAAAAGCTCTACTAAATGATCCGCTACGTTTGGCCGGCGGTAGACAGGGATGCAGACTGCAATCATGGTCTGATATCGGGTTACCTGCCTTTTTATAACAGGCCTCTCCTCGGCATCAATTGGGTCACAGGAAGATACTGATAGCGATCGTTTTCTTAGCCGAGCTGGTAGGCTATAAGATATTACTGGTAACTCAAAAGATGCCGTAATAATTACCGGTAACAGTGCTGCTTGCGTAAATTTAATGGCGTCCAGCTAGCAGAGAAAACGTTCCAACGTTATCCAGATCCGATAGAAGTATTCTTTTTGGTATAGATCCAGCGGGATCCCGAGATCTTGGAGCTGTCTGTTACCTGGAAACGGGGCGGCCCGGAAGGACCAATATAAAAAGTGCTTCTATATCTTGATGTATCTTTTCTCGGTAGCTAGCTGTAGCCGGTCTAACGCTCGCTTATATAGCTTACCGGCAATAGTGCTATGGAAGATCTGGCGGATCGGCTCGTAGGTAATATCCAGTGTATCTAACGCCCGAACCATAATGCGGTCAAACGAGGCCCCGATCATGTAAAGAACGGTAGTATAATAGCTGCTCTTCTCAGTCTGCCAGACACTCGCAATCGTAGGATCTTGCTGAAGGGTATTGGGATGGCCCCGGAACTTAATAAGCGTTTGAAGGGGCCGTCTCTCCAGATATCGAAGCCATCCGGTCTGGGCTAATTATAGAGTTATCGTTTCCTTTCTAGGGGGGATCATTCCCGTACGCGGAATTTCCCCTGATCCAGATTTGATTGGTCGAATGGAGGGGGGCGTCTTAGGCTGGCAGGAGCTTACATCGGCATCATTCTCCGCTGGCGTCGGGGATAATGGGGGTAGAGTCGGTAGGCACAGTTCATTGGGGGATAACTGTACAGAGGCAGGGGACGGAAGTATTAATTTTCTATCAGGATTAGGCGGTACGACCGAGGACTGGGGGCTCATGGGTCTCTAGGGACACGTAGGCGCAGTTACCCAGTACCGACAATAGCGGGCATGGGTAAACCAACTTTGCCCCTGAACAGGGATCCAGGCCAGTGGGCGAGGGCTCCCGACAGTATGCTTGATCCGGTGATATCGCTAGAGCCATTTCTTTGAGGCAGTAAGAAAGCTACAGTAGTTACACTGCAGTAAATCATAGATTAGTAGGTTAGGAATAGCGTCAGTACTATCAGCCAGCAGAGGAAAATCAGTATAATCTTTACGAGGGCGCGCGTCCTCTGGAATACATTATAATTGGTGCTCTATCGCGGTGCGGCTTTCAATCTGATAGCAAATACGTAAATGCCGCGATATTAGACGATTTAGGAGGGCATACTGGCAGTCATAACAGATAATACATTGATACTGACTGTTGTACCAGAGATATTGAAAAGCCGGTTCCATCTGGATGTATAACGGGGTTTACTCCCCTAATATTATGCAGATCTTGATGGAGAGAAAATGATGCCTACCAGGAGTAGTATTATAGTATAGGGAAAGAGACTAAGTATCATTCATTCTATCAGGAACAGATAGGAGAATAGATATATCATTATACTAGACGTAACGTGGCGCGACGGACGGAACGCGACGCGACCTCACCTAGCGCGACAAGAAAAAAGAAAAACCAATTACCAAGGATTAACTTTAGGGGGGGTCCTGTTACCCCACTCCGGATCCCCCCAGAGTTGGTCTAGCGCCGGGAGGCTTCACTATGGAGACCTGGGGGGGGATCCGGGGGCTCCTCTCTGATAGGGAAATGATGGGAGCGATACTAGAGCGGTTTAGGTGCGGTTCCATACGGCTGATGGCTCGATAGGGCTAGCGGCAGGTAAAATGCGCAACCCTCCCGTTATGCGCGGCCGGAGTTTGTACGGGAAGTGACGGTCACTTCGCGGCTCCTGTGTTATAGCAACATGCTTTTTTTTCCAAAATCTCGCTCGAAGGAGTTCTCGATTGTCAATTTTTGAATATTGGAGAGTGATAGAATGGATGAAAACATAGGAAAAAAAAGGAAAATGAAAAATATTAGGCACTATATTGTTACATTTTGGTTTTCGGTACCGAGATAGTGATAAAATTATACTGACAGAACCCCCCGGCGATGGATGGGCCGCGAATCAGGCCCGCTGCAGAAGCCACTGGGCAATATGCTCCACCGTTGGACAGGTCCATATGAGGGTGGGCGGGATCTGCAAAGCCAGCGTCTGTTGCAATCTTTTCCGGAGACGCACCGACATCACGCTGTCCACGCCCATATTACTAAGGGGCTCAAAACAGTCCACTTCGTCCGCCTTCAGGTGTAGCACCTGGGCGACGCATTCCTGAGTGTGCTCACGCATGTCAGTCGAGTGCTCTGATGCTGATTTCGGAGTCGCAATGCTGGAGGATTCAGCGGACGACACCAAACCGACGGATCTGGAATCGGAAACGGATTCCTTGCGTATCACAATGTCAGAGAGTAGTGGGCTGGGAAGCATTTGGCCCTCCTCGATAGATAGACTGCGAAGCACCACGGCGTGGTCAATTTCAAACTTGGAGGCATGTGTCCACGCGCGAAACGCCTCCTCGTTTCTGATATCGGTGATGCCGTTACTGGCTAGCTCCAGATCGATCAGCTCGGAGCTGGTGGCCATCCCCATCCCTCGCCAGCTGGTCCATTGAAACGAGACCGTGTGGCCCCCTTGCCGTCGCCGATAGGTGGCCAGGGTGTCCAGAAACGCGTTACCAGCTCCATACGATGCCTGTCCTGTCAGGCCAAATAACGGTCCGCAGGAAGAAAACAGGATCATGAAGTCCAGTGATTCGGGGGGGAATAGCGCATGTAACGTCAGCGCCCCAGACACCTTGGGAGCCAGCACCCGACACATCGAAGCGGGCGTCGTGTTCAGAACGAGCTCACTCTCCAAGACTCCAGCCGCATGGATAACCCCCAACACTGGGGGAAAGGATAACGCGTTGAGTGCGATGGATAGCCGCGATTGAGCGTCTGAAGACGCGATATCTACGGCCAGGGAACAGATAGTTACGCCTTGTGTCTCCAGATCTCGAATTTTCTGGAGAGCCGACGCAAATCGAGAGGAAGCGGCAATGCAGGTTGCCCACTCACTGCGAGGAGGTAACTTGCTGCGGGAGACTATGATCAGACGACGGGCCCCCTTGGCGGCCAGAAATTGCGCGACCTGCAGCCCCAGGGCGCCCAGTCCCCCAGTAATCAGATAAGTCCCTCCAGGGCGAGGCAAGAGCGAATTGTGCTGAGCCCGAGGGAGTAGATTGCCTTGGGAAAGAGATCGAAGCCGGGCTGTGCGTGGGACGCCATCCAAGATGCGGATCACATCGGCACCCTGCACATATTTCATCGTCGTCAGGGGAAATAATGACGACTCTAGGTCAATAAGCCCCCCCCAGATGTCTGGGTGTTCGGCGGCGATAACTCGGGACAGCCCACAAAGAACAGACTGAGCAAGACAGGCCGCGGCCTTGCCTGTGAACACGTGATCCGTGAGAACAAAGATTTTGGGGGGTAAAGAGAGATTTACCACCAATTTTGCTATCTCTAACAGTTCGCAGGTATATTCCTGGCATGCAATGGCGATGGCATCGGAAGGAAGCAGGCGACCTGGGACGTAGACAATCGCCGAGTGGTGGGTTAGGCAGCCTTCTTCCGTCTCCATGAGATCTGAGAGCTGACTTGCTCCAGTCAGCATCAAGATGGAGCCAATTTCAGGCTTGAGAGCCGCTGCATAGTGCTCCACCCTTTCGTGGTCTCGCGATATGAGTACGATATGATCCAGGCGAAGAGGGGTTTCTACGTATGACGCCGGGGGCCACTCTAGCTGGTGCACAAGACCGTCGACACTGAAATCCATACCAGGGGCTTCTTCAACCTCTGAGTATCGTAGCGACTCCAACTGGACCAGGACATTGCCTTCGTCATCACAGATACTGACGTGCGCGGCGGTCATATCTGGAACCTTGTCCACATACACCACCCCCCTCCGGGGAGGTGCTGACTCAGTGAGAACAGTGATGCGATGGATGTGAGCAGGCATACGCAGTCTGGGCTGGTCGAAGAATATGGTGGATCCCACTGAGATGGCAGCATCCATGATGGGCGCCCAGGAATGGATATCCCAGGGCAAGGGGCTGGATCCGAGATCTGGGGCAACTTCAACCTGGGCAATCATCTCCCTTAAATTTCCGTAGTGCTCGGTGATCGCCCACGGAAACCCCATCGAAGCGACACCGACCTTGTGAAGATACTCCACGGAGAAGTTGTCTCCGAGTTTCGTTCCAATCCGAAGTTGGACGGCCTTCGTATCTATGCCGGCAGGGGTAGAGTCGCGCCCAACCGTGCCGCCCCAGCAGCCCGTCGTGTGTGTCAGCCACGCCTCATCTTGCTCTGAGGCGTTCGGTTCGACGAGGAGGGAGCAAATCCTGAATCGATCGGGTTTGATAATGACCTGGACATCTCGGGGCTGGCTCACCAGCACCGGGAGGCGGAGAGTGATGTCGGAAAGGGTGCGAGCCGCGATTCCCTCGAGGAACGTATTGATCAGAACCGCCGCGGGGACAATCTCGGCCCCATGGACTGGGTGGCTCCCGGGGAAGGGCTTGACATGCTCGTCAATTCGGGTGGTGTAGACCGTGGTATTCTCACCAGCAATGGAAACCCGCTGGCCGAGAAGCGAGTGCTTGTCGACATCAAGGGTCACCCGGTGGTCCTCCAAAGGCCGGGCCTCCACTTCTCTCCAGAATGGCCGATGATTCCAAGTCGTCGTCGGAACCTCGGCCGCCCAGACGCCACCCATTGCCCTTTTCCAGTCCACTGCAGCCCCTTGGCAGTGGAGCTGAGCGATGCTGCAGAGGATCGACTTTTCCGCCGGCTTCCCACGGGCCATGGTGTGCGTGACGGTAAAATTGGCGACGCCTTGATGCATCATGGTTTCCTCGATCGACTGTGCAACAATTGGGTGAGATGAAACTTCTAGGAATAGTCTCATACCGTCCGCCGCCGCCGCCTGCACCGCTGAGGTCAGCCTGACCGGATTGACCATATTTTCGACCCAGTAGCTGCTGTCACGAAGGGGTGCGGAGCGCGGGTTCAACAATGAGGTAGTGTAGAGTGCTACCTTGGGTGGGCACGGAGAGAGACCACCCTCAAGGGCGTGTCTCAAGGGCGCGGAGAGAATGCGAAGCTGGGGGTGATGGAAAGCAATGTTGGATTTCACGTGGAAGAACTTGATTCCTCTGGCCTCGAGCGTTGCAGCGAGGGTTTGGACTTCATCAGTGGGCCCCGATACAACGCAGGACGAAGGAGAGGCATATATGGCGAGGGCAAGTTGTGTTTCACTGCCGAGCTCTTTTTCCATTTTGTCCCCCGGCATATTCACCAGGATCATTGCCCCAGAACCGATAAAATGACGGTAGAGTTTTGCCCGTCGACATACAACCAGGGCACCCTCCTGCGCCGAGATACAGCCTGCGGCCACGGATGCGGCGATCTCTCCCACTGAATGGCCGATTATCGCATCACAGGGGACGTCTTTGGACTGCAGAACCGCGTGGAGTCCGATGTGCATTAGATAGGTAAGAACTTGAATCTGATCTGCTGCACCAAACTCTCCCGATTCCAAGGCCTGTAGCGGTGAGAACTCGAGCTCTTCTCGGACAAGGCGCTCAAGAGGAGACACGGCATTGTAGAAAACCGGATCGTGCAGCAGGTCTTTGGCCATATCCAGCCATTGTGCTCCATGGCCCGAAAATACCCAAACCACCCTTTTGGAGCTTTCATTCTCGATGCTTTGCACTTGGCCGGAGAGCGTCCAATCACAAGGATCGCCCTTGATGAAGGCTTCAAGTTTCTCAACCACGTCTGCATGGTCTGTGGCGATGAATGCCGCTCGATATCGGTGATGTTCCCGGCGTGTGGCTAACGTCGCCGCGATGGACCCGAGATGGTGCTGTTGTCCCACAGTCGAGATCCAAGTTTTCTGCGTCTCTGCCTGGAGGAAAAGCCGCCTCTCTTGCAGTGCTGAGAGAAGTATGGCTTGATAGTTCCTAGGCACTGGTTCGCCAGGGCCTTGGAACGACCCAGGGTTGATGTATTCCTCCACAAGGGCATGGCTGACCGTTCCCCCATACCCATACGCACACACGGCAGCACGGCGAGGGCCGTCCGACGCCGGCCACTCTTGGGCCTCACGCACCACGCGGAGCCCAGTTTGATCCCAATTCATGCGCGAATTTAAAATTTTGAGATTTGCCTGCGGTGGTAGAATGCCCCTTTGAACGCTCAGAATTGCCTTAATGAGGCCGACCGCGCCGGCCCCAGCCTCCAGATGGCCAACATTCGGCTTGACGGAGCCGATGAAACACGGCTGGCCGGCAGGTCGGCAGCTCCCATAGACGGCTGCGAGAGCAGAGACTTCTGTTGGGTCACCTAACGGTGTTGAGGTGGCGTGGGCCTCGATGTAATCGACAGTAGAAGGCTTAATGTGGGCATCCCAAAGGGCATTCCTAGCCACTAGCTCTTGGGCCTTGGCATTGGGAGTCATGATGCCATTTTTGTAACCATCGTGGGCCACTGCACTTCCTTTCAGGATTGCAAGAATGTGATCACCGTCACGCACAGCGTTGGCCATATTTTTGAGAACAATAATAGCGGCGCCTTCGCCGCGGCCGTATCCTTGGGCGGCTTCGTCAAATGAGCGACAACAACCCTGGGGGGACAGGGCCCCGGATTGTTCAAGTACCCTTGTTAATCCAGGGCCACAAATGGCATTGACTCCACCAGCAATGGCTACTGTAGACTCTCCTTGAAGAACCGCCCGTCTTGCATGGTCAATGGCGACCAATGACGAGGCACAAGCAGCATCAACCACGGAACTGGGCCCCATCAGATTCAGATGGTAGGATATACGGTTCGCCACGCCACAGTACGCAGTGCCGATGCCCATCCATGCGTCAATGCCCGGCAGATCCTCTAGTATCAGCTTGGAGTAGTCATCCGAGTTAACTCCCATGAAAACAGCCGTGTTGGAGCCAGAAAGGCTCTGAGGCGCAATTCCAGCATTCTCCAGGGCTTCCCATGTCACCTCTAATGTTATCCTCTGCTGCGGGTCCATTTGCTCGGCCTCCGCGGGCGAGATCTGAAAAAAGGCCGCATCGAAGTCCTCCAGCTGATCGAGAAAATATCCACGATGGTTCATCTGGTCCAAGAGACGCCCGTTCCGCGCGTCTCGATGCCTGTAAGGCTCCCATCGCATCGCGGGTATGTCTCCGGAGGCGTCGACTTTGTTGAGAATAGATTGCCATAAATCTTCTGGGGAGTTATTGCCCCCCGGAAGGCGGCACCCCATGCCCACTACTGCTACTGCATGGCAGGTCGAGTCCTAAAAAGAATGGTTACTAACCGATACGCTAAAACCGAGTTCATTTCCTTGGTAGGAATAGCCATGAATCAATCATCAAACTTACGGCAATGCCGGTGTCCAGCGTTGCTACACCTTCCTCAGCACATGGAGCAGCCTTGGGGCATGGTTGAAGGAGTTTTGGTCTTGTATAATCACCCATGGTCTTAGTGGATTTCAATGTGTTGTATACGGAACCAATAGTAAGAGCTATTCCTGTTGGGTAGTTCACGAGTATGAAGTAGAGTGGATGTAGATTTAGGCAAGATTCGCTACAATGGGCCTATTTATACAATTAAATTGGCGGTTTTCCGCCCAAGGTCCCTTTGTAGGGACTGCATCTTCGACATTATGGTTACGAAAGATTTCTGCTCTAGTGACATCACGATATCATGTCGTACCGTATGAGGATAAATTTCATCACGTCTGATCCGCTGGTTCATGCGCAGAACCACACAGTTGCTCTCAATGTTCTCTGTATTTTGGAGTTTTCCCACAGAACTATAGGTGGCAGAGCAAATAGGCCATGAGTTGTACATACACAAATACCCTTTGGGATTCGGTGGAGCTACCAAGTAGTGGCATGGCACGGAACTATGGTGCATCCACTATGGATACTAGGTATCTGGATTAGCGTACACAAGTATACCAATGTTACACCTGCTCTGATCCTGTGTCATCCTCGCAGCACATCTACTGCGCATGGAGATCTGCACTGTAAACAACCGGGCGTTCCACAATCGTATATGGCTTGGTACGAAGTAGAAGGAACAGAGTTCTAGATGGCCCGTCCTGCTCCGACCCCGACTCCGGTTCAGTCTTTCTCTCCTTCCCGTACTCGTGGGTCTAGTTGCCACATGGCTCCATATTTTCGGAGGATGTAGAGACGTTTCGGATATAAGTTTCTATCCACTCCAGTCGTGCCTAGTAATTAGGCCATAGTACATCTAGGTTTGCCACTATCTATTACTGTTACGCTGACGTGGGGTGCATATCCAAAACTTAGACCCCACCCTAACTCTATGGATAAATAAATAACTCAAAATTTATCAGGCATAGACCACCAGAAGCAATAAAAAGACCTAAGATGTAGGCTTTCAATTCACAAATCCTTATTATTCAAATCTATCAGATCATGGAATCATGTCTCAACCAATTACAGAATTTTCAGCCTGGGACGGTGGCTCCAGTCTTACACCATTTGTCTCTAGAGACACAGGAAGGTTATTGCGGGAGTATGTCAAAATATTTCCTAAAAACTTAAGGGCCACATAAAAGCCATAGTGTATACTGTATCTCGCCCTTGTGGCCATATCGGTTGATGGCTCACAACACCACCATTCAGGAACTACTAGTTCCACAAGTATTGCGGAGAAAATAGACAACAGAGCAAGATGGTATAAGACAATGGCTTTTTATTCAGATAGATGACTTCTTTCGACTCTATGTAACTCAGCCACTGCTGCTTTTGTCTTTGGATTGTCTGCCTTTCATGGGGGGCCTACCGACAAGGAGGAAGAAGGCCCTAAACACTTCTGAACCCGCGAAAGTGGCCTGGCCCTCCTTTAGGGATTTAGGCTTGAGTTTAGCCACTATTTTCTAGAAGGAAAACTGCCAGAAAGCATAAAACCAACAGGGGGCTAAAAACCGATGATGTGAAAAGAGCGTGTTAACTTTTATTCCGAAAAGACAAGCTGAACCACAGAGTAAGCCAAGTCATTATGTCACTCCACATTCTCCGCTGGAACCAACCTGGTCCCGATTTTGATTTATTTATTTATTTTGTGGGGGGTAACGGAAATTATACATTTCCCTGGAGGCCATTGCGTTGAACTGTAATATGAGCAACTTCGACTAAAACGTAAATCTCTCTTTCTGTAATATAAAGGTCTTCATATTATAAGTGATCGATAATATATCTATTACCATAGTCTTTCTACGCCTCAAAATAGTTTTTTCATAGTTACGTTATCTTAGGTGGTCTAAAAAACTATAATCGATTATATATATTTATAGTTTAATTATCAAGGTAAAATAAGGCTTTCCAACAACTAACTTCTATATATTAACTAAGGCCTGACTAAATAATCGAAAATTGTATTTTAATAGTCTTATTTTTACATACTAGGGGCCGCTAAACCGCTTTAAAAATTAGTCTTTGATTGTATCAGAAGTTTTCCATGGCTTGCACTCAGGATGGATTCCCGCTCCACATCCTTGTCCGTGCGTGTCCCTGCGTAAGGCTAAATTGCGGACCGCAGGTATTCTCCGCGGGCTATTCGGCCGTGCCTAGGAATTGTGGGCCCAACCATCATGTGTCAAGGTTTAGGAATTAAGGTGCAACCCAGCCCAGGATTTACCAAGGAACAGTGGTTTTGCAAATGGCGTAGTCGACGCCATACTAATGTCCCTGGATTTACAATAGAGTTACTTCCAGCTACCTTGCCCAGCGGGGACGTGACATCACGATAATAACCCAATGCTGTGGCCATGAATGTGCTGTTATCTCCAAGGAATAAGAATGCCTGGAGATCTGATCTGCTTTTGAGCTCTCGTCTGCAAAGATTATCCACCGACGCCTCCATGCAGATCATTTGGCAGGAAGGTCTACCTTGCCACGAAAATTGCCACCCATGCTAGGACCCCGGGTAAATGGGGCAACCATTCGAGTCGTCCGCTATCTAATGATGTTCCACTTACCTGAGGGTGGGCCGTAGTAAAGAGCCCTGGCTTGATACCCTATTATTCAGACAGTAAATCCGTTATAGTAGAGCTACAACGTATTCCAGCTGGATCGACTGTTCGGCATTCATTTTTTTGGTGGCATCTCGTGGTATCTTTAATTTGTATGGCTCTTATTTTAAGTCCTGAACGACTCCAACACGTACTCTGTTACCATCTGACCGTGTCTGTTACATCGAGCATGAAACATTTTAGAGCCGGACTCATACGCAGCTTGAGGGGTCCCGTCAACATAACATGACGCAACTAGTCAAACTCAGCCCCCACAACCAATGATCTTCCAAAGCTCACCGATGCGGTCTATACTAGTATGGACGAAAAATTGGAGGCAATATATTAACCAATATTGCAATTAATAGAATTGGGAGACTAGGAATGTATCTTTACTGGGAGGTTTCCTTCCCGTATATCGCCCCGATCCGCCCCCTCCATTCTAAATAGTAGCAAGGCAGACGCTGAAGGGGAGGTTTGAAGGGAAGAAGCCACGAAATCGGGATCATATTGTGGTGGAAATGCACTGCTTGTCACTATAGGGAGGGAGAATGACATTCTACTCTATTATAGCTCCCAACCAGCGGCCAAAGAATAGGTTAAATTAGAAAGGTAGCCAAACCTCGCCTGTCTAACTGCCCTATGCTCAGACGAACAGGTTATGAAATTAGCGATTAAAATAATAAGATAGAAGCTATTTGTTTGTATTAAATATACATAATCTACTTTCTCTAATCTATTTTATTTGTCGTTTCTACAGGGCTGGGACCTTTAGCATATCTAGTATCGCTAATAAGCTCTTAGGCTGGTACAGACTTGAGATATCTTTAAACTAGAAGATGAAGATTGTATCAGGAGCGACTAGAGAAGCCATACCCTATCTGCAGGGATAATCCGCGTGATTTCAAGCTAGAGGCAGAGTAGGATTCCATTGGTGCCTCTATGTACAAGATGTGGGAAGGGGGCAAACAAGAAGACGAGCGCGTCTCTTCTTGCCACAGTACGTCAAAAGTTTGTCATGTACATACCCTATTATGGACAAGCTACATCCCGCCCGCCCGCCGTCGGAGTCGGAGTTGGGGCCGGCAGATCCATGGTTCATTCCCCTTTGCGCCCGCCACAGTCAAAGAAGTGGATCACTATGAGCTTAAATCTAGAAACGGACCAAATGGAAACCACCAACCTCTGCGTTTTACCCCAAGAAACTATTTCCTAGAAAATGACGTAGGCTGCCCCAGTCCCACGCAGCCGGTATCAGTAGATGATGCGCCGGGGGGGCAACATATCCTGAATGATGATGCTGTCATACGCAATGGAGCGGGAGAAAATACAAGAAGGTGGTAGATAAGGGTTCCCATCCCTTAATGGTCCAAGCTACCCTGTCGTCTGGCTATAAGACCTGGACCTAGACCTTCAATTCACAGGTCATTGGTAATCGAGTGAAAGATTCCGGAATCCAAAACCATGTCTCAACCGATTACAGAAGTTTCAGCCTGGGACCGCGGCTTCAGTCTTGCACCGTTTCTCGCGGGAGATGCAGGAGCGTTGTTGGGGGAATATGCCAAAATCTCGCCTGAAAAAATTGAGGGCCACATACGAGCCATAGTATGTGTTGTACCTTGCCCTTATGGTCATATCTGTCGATGCTCACAACTCCACAGGCAAAACGAGGATGGGACAAGTTGCATTACCCTTGCTTTAGGATGTACACGTTTTTGCATTTCGACCTAGCCCAGTCTCCAATATATGATGAAATACTGTCCCGTGTTCGGAACGGCAGTGTGGTTTTTGACCTGGGCTGTGGCCTGGGTCAAGATATACGTCGCCTTGTTCATGACGGTGCACCGCCAGAAAACATCGTTGGTCTTGATATTTACCAGGAATACATTGATCTCGGCTTCGAGCTTTTTCGGGACCGAGACAGACTGAGTTCAACCACCTTTATCGCCCAAGACTTCTTTGACTGTCATCTCAACCTGGGGCCATGGGCCAATCGCCATAAAATTGTCAATTCTGGCTACTTCATGCATTTATGGAATTGGGATGGCCAGGTTCAAGTCGCCAAGCGGATCCTGGAGGCATTGTGTTTGCAAAAGGACGATATTATTGCCGGGGTACATTTTGGCAGTACTGAGGCGGGTATTTGGAACAAGGACCCTGTTAGCCAAGATCCTATGTACCGCCATAACTCCAAGACCTTCTCAAGGCTTTGGGAGCAGGTTGGAAGAGAGACCAAAACACGGTGGGTAGTCTGGTCCACGATGGAACATGACAAGGACCTTGTCAAACTGGACCCCGACGGGCTTCGTCTCCGATGGTATGTCAAGTTTCTGGGCGAAGATTCCAAGATATAAGGCATACCATTACTGCTGATGCTGGATACCATGAGACAAGGCGGGAGGCAGGCATGCGGGATAAGACTGATAATGATTTGGAATTGAAGCTGAATTTGCGGGTCTGATCCCTTAGTAATTCCTTGACCCTCTGGCCTCTGGAAGAGGACTATACTAGCTACTGTAGAATGAAATCTCTCTTTCTCTCCCTCTCTCTCTCTCATATCACTGGTTCCGATCATCAACGCTATCGGATGATTAAGCAGTGGGCGACCTTATATATAAAACCAGTGGTAGGGGTCACAGTTCGGGTAGGTTCAGGATTTATTATGACAGGTTCAGAGTGCTAAGGCCGAATTTCTAAACTAGTTTGATCGACTCAGCCGATTGGGCTCAGATTATTCCAGAGTATGATGATCCTAAGCCCACCTAAGCTTTACACCCCTACTTTAAACTCCCTTGGGGACTATCTAGGGTGCTAAGGGTACTCTAGGGACTCCCTTTGTATAGTGTTTCTTTTTTAGAGAGATTTAAGTAACTTTTAAGGTATATATTTAGGCTTAAATTGTGTTGTGAAATGCCTGGGGAAGGAGGGCAGAATGGCACTGTATCGGCTATACGCACGTAGCCTACTAAGGAGCGAATGCCTTTCGAATGATAGGGCTCTTAATTCTCTTTCATTGCGACTAATCTCATCTTCTCTTTCATCTATGTAAAGGGGTAAGTTCCTCAGGGGTTCAAGTGTGCGGGCCAAGCCGCTAGATCACGTAAATATAGATTCGTATCAGTTCAGAAAACCTGTGTACACATATGTTAGTTAGTAATTTTTTTTTGGTTGTATTTTACGGCTGTGTGACACCGCCTAAGCACGTGTCTTACCGTCCCCTGTTGGGGCAAAGGCCGCCAGGGGGTAAGCCCTGGGCGTCACTAAGTAGCTGCTAGTTCTATGTACA